GTGCTAGTCGAAGCACTACACAATCTTTAAATACAGAAAAAAAAAAACACTACTATGTTGTAATTTCCCGTTGCTGTAACTATTATTGCATATCATTGCTGTAGAATAATAAACATATTGATGCACCCACCGTTATGTTTTAGAAAGACCATTGACGCTGCAGCTTTGTAACCATTGATTTCTGTCCACATGTATTTCACACCAACTCTGCGTACACTGGTTTTAGAGTAAGATGTGAGCATACATTTATATGAAGTAGTGGGCTTCTCACTTTTAGGATTTTTACTAAATCCGTTTGGATAGCTTAAATCAGAGGGAAATATAGAAGTTGCTTCGGGATCTGGATATTTCAACTCATTTTCACCATAATGCGTCCTGTTGTCGTCCACCCATAAACCGACACCAAACATGACGTTTTCATTTGCAACGTTGTCATGAACGCCGGTGTAGGCGTGCAGATTCGTGTGACTGTTACTCTTCACAATGAAGGATGTACTGAATGCTGTAATATCAGGTATCGTGTCTGAAATAATTTGAAACATTTCTGATTTACTTCAGATGCGAAGCAAAAATATTAGGTTGATAATAGTTGAGTAATAACTTAGGTTATCTAATTTTTACGAATATTGCATTTTTATTTTCGACGTTTGTCACTAATAACTATTGATCACTAATAAAACGAGAAACTACTACATAAAATTACACTGTATTTTATGTATTACTGTATATATATATATAATACATAATAATCGAATAGTAACATAAGTTGTTATAATCGTATTAAGCACCTCTTTAACGCAAATTAACTTTTTAGTTCAATAAATAGGTGTGTTTTTAGTTTTCTTTATTATTTCGTATTGAATCACTAAGCGCATGCACTTTCGAGTACGCGCTTAGTTAATTTTGTGTTTACTTGACATTCAAGAATTAAAATAAATATCTGAATTTATGCAGCTAAATAACACCAAATATATATATTAAATATAAATAAATATATGCATTATAAATGTTTGTAAGCGAAAACTACTTACTATTTTTTTTTCCACTGACTGCTATAACGTTTGACACTGTAAAAATTAATGTTAAGAATATCCAATAGTCAGTGATTTTGATCGGTTTTGACTATTTGTATTTTGTTTGTATACCATTATCATAGCCATGATAATGTTTCATAGGGAGAACACATAGTTAGTCTACATACAATCGAACCTGCAACCTCTCGTCATTAAGGCAAGTGTCATACTCATTAGAATAAGGAGACCTACGTGCAGATCTAATCCCAGGTATTTTCTCTTATACAACTGACTAAAACTCTTACACATAGTGGAGCTATGGATACTCTAGGAAAAGCATATAAACCTCAGTTTGGAAAAAATAAATAATATTCAATATAGATATGCATATATATTTAATATATAAATAATATAGTTATGTAAAAATGAATATAAACAAACATAAAACAAAAAAAGTATCATAAGGCTGACTTTAATGTAAAATAATGTATATGAAATATTATGTAATCCGGTCCCTAAGGTCAAACATGTTACAGTATAAGATAAAAATTTTCCCTTTAGCATAATGGTAGAACATGGTGTGGTGGTACGATATCTAATTTACTGGAAACCTCATTTGACCTCTGTGACCTTTTACTTTGACTTTTATGTTTTTTTTTTGTTTTTTTTTAATGAATCTGCCATCTGTAATGCTTTGGTTTAATGAATTAATGTTGGAGTCAAATTGCTCAGAGCACATACGAAAGTATTAAATTGTCATATCTCTGCAACGCTTAGGTCAATAGAAATTATTTTGCTGTGAAATTGTTTAGGTATTTATATTTGCTCCAATACAACTTTTCCATAAAAACTAATGCTTACCCAGACTTTTTTGAAATCGTGTTTTTGGGAAATTTACATGAAAATGCCATGGTATTTTTTTTTTTTTTGTTATTACGTCTAACATGTTACAGTAGTCAATACTAATTTGCCTTTAGAAAAGTGGTACAACAAGATGTACTGTACAAAATCCAAGTTACTGGAAATCTGATTTGACCTCTGTTACATTTGACCTCAATTTTTATGTTGTTTCCATTGAAAAAACATAAAATTGCAACTCTGTAATACGTTTGTCTATTGAAATGATTTTCGTGTCAAATTATTCAGATTGAACAAATACATTTATTCGCTCTAATAAAACATTTTGCATGAAAAAGATAAAGGGGCTTTCTGCCTCATGGGTAACTTACAGGGGACATTTTCATCTGGCTTGGGGTTCTTTTCTAAGGGGCTTCTCTGAATCAATCTCATTCACTCTGACTCAGGGATTCTCAAATGACTGTAAGGAAATGTCCCAACACCGTCCAAGACGAGAGAGCAGCTTAGCTCAGGCGGCTAATCTGGTGGTAGCCACGGTGTGTGCGCTGAACCGTGGAGATCTCTAGGTCCCCGGTTCAATTTCCATCGTTGCCTCTCCTTGTGTTTCAGCTAGAGGGCTGAAATACAAGTTACATAGCGCACCGTCTTTCGGATGAGTCGTTTAAGCCGTTGGTCCTGTGTGCATTTATGGCCCATGTGCACGTTAAAGAACACAGTACACTCTTCGGAAAAGAGTAGGGGATTGTCTTCCGGTGTACTGTCCAATCACCACCAGAAGGACCCCACTTGAAATAAGTCTTCTTCTAGACTTTCGTGGGCTATCCTTGGTGTTTACACCGAATAAATCCAATCCAATCCAATCCAGTCCATGTTTATCCAACGTTTCGTATCTAAATGAAATAAGCTTTCCTTAAAACTTCTCTAATGAAGTCATGCATTGATACGTTTAAAGACCCTATCTTAAAAACTAAGTTTAATTTACTTTTATTCTGTAAATTGTTTTATAATCTTAAAATCAGACTTCGTCTTTGCATTAACCAACTTTTCCAATAAATTACTTAGAAATTTGAAAGAATCAATACATTTTAAGTTACCAATATGAAAAGGAAAGGATATATATGTATCTGTGTTGTTTGGAATCGCCCTCCATCTTCATTATGCTTCGGATAATCAAATGATTATCATATATATACCTAAATTATGGAATATTAAAGGAACTTTTGTTTTCTTTGAAAAAGTTTGAAGTTGCAAGAGGAACGTGCTGTACAGCGATATTTACCAGTTTGTGACAGTGATCTCTACATTTCCTTTGTTTAGTACGGAAACACTTAATAAGTGTCATTCGACTTGGTATAATTTATGTTGTCGCATGTCTAGATCAACTATCATACCAAGAGGACATATTGAAAATGTTATGTTGTCATGGCGAGATAGGTTGTCTTGACAAGTCGACATAATACAAATTCTATGTTGTTATGGCGAGATAGATTATCTTGACAAGTCGACATTATACAAATTGTATGTTGTCATGGCGAGATAGATTATCTTGTCAAGTCAACATAGTAAAAATATTATGTTGTCATGGTGAGATATATTATCTTGACGAGTTGAAATAATAAAAATGGTATGTTGTCATGGCGAGATAGATTACCTTGTCAAGTCGACATAGTAAAAATGTTATGTTGTCATGGCGACATAATTTATCTTGTCAAGTCGACATAGTAAAAATGTTATGTTGTCATGGCGACATAGACCATTTTCTTGTTGTCATCCATCTTGTTATCATAATTTATCATGTTGTTATGCCAACAACTTTCAAACTCGAAATTATAATACTCATTATCACTTTTAATTATTATTGATTGTGTTTACCTCTCTACATCTTTCTTCTACTTGAAATTTTCCACTTTCTTTTCAGACCTGCCAACCCTTTGGTAATAAAAATTTTGAGATTTTTTTGTAAATCCTAAAAAAAATTGGAGGTTTCCAGAATTAACCAAAAGATGATGCAAGATACCAAAAAAGTCACGTCACTACAAATAATTGGCCGTTAATGGCGACATTGATATTGAAAATGGCTACTTGTTTATTGCACCGCGAAGCAAGCAGGCGACGAACACATTGAATAATAACGATCGAATCAATCAAATTATGCATAAATCGGAGTATTTTTGGGGAGGGTTTGGCCTGTGAAATCGGGTGAAAATTACATTCGATCGGGAGAACTGGAGATTTGTTTAAATATCGGGTAACACCCGACAGGTTCAAGTGAGTTGGCAGGTCTGCCTTTTAAAAGTGTTACTTTTTTCGCATGTTTGCGAAACTGTAATAAAACAAACTTCGCGCTCGGAAATTTCCTCCATTATTTCGGCACCGGTAAACGTGCACGAACGTGTGAACAAACAACCCATGAAAATCTATCTCGCCATGACAACATACAATTTGTATTTTGTCGACTTGTCAAGATAATCTGTCTCGTCATGACAACATACAATTTTTATTATGTCGACTTGCCAAGATAATCTATCTCGCATTGACAACATACAATTTGTGTTATGTCGACTTGTCAAGATCATCTATTTCGCCATGACGCCATGACAACATACAATTTTTATTATGTCGACTTGTCAAGATAATCTATCTCGTCATGACAACACACAGTTTTTATAATGTTGTCAAGATAACCTATCCTGCCATGACAACATAAATTTTTAGTATGTCGTCTTGGCAAGATAGTTGATCTGGACATGTCGATATGATGTGTATATTATGTCGACTTGACAACATCAATTATCTTGACAAGTCGTCAAGTCGAATGGCACTTAGGTGGTTCCGTAGTTTAGCGAGTCTGTCACAAGTAAAACAATATTTTTCTCTAGACTTTACTTGAATCTGATTGAATACAACTCGAACACGTGAGTTGTAACGAAGGGTTGATTGCATATTCAACACTCATCCTCATTCTAAAATCTAATTTCTTCATTGGGCAACGTTTCGGAAAATATTTTTGATTTTAGTCTCTTCTTGTCTTGTAAAAATTGAGCAGAAACACCCGAACAGTCGGGGCTGTTAAGCTTCGCTGGTTTGCCCGCCAACTGTTAGTTCCGAGTTCAATTTTACCATCATGCCTTACAACTATATAAAATGAATAACTACAAGTGCTGTGTTCATTTTTCTTGTGAGTTTTTTTTTTTTTTTTTTTTTTTTTTCTTCTCGCGACGGCTTTCGCTTCGCTCTGAGCTATAGGTTTTAATATCGACTCAAAATCTACATAGATAACATAAGGAGTTGGCATAATATTGTGGTGATGTTTGAATTTCAATGTGTTCTTACCTTCTTCGGGCATAACAAGTGTTCATGTTTAACATTTAATACCTCTAAAATCTGAAGTGTTTTTTAGTAAATCTTCTCGATTAAAATGTGTAAAAATCTTAAGCAGATATGCTTTGTATCATGATGCATATTTTCATTGTGTAGCAATTGTGATATGGTCGTAATTCACATGCTATGTTTTTCATATAGTAAGAGGCCTATTACTTTGTCATCCTCCGATAATGTGGGCTTCCACTCCCCACTAATATAATGGATATAATGAATTCTCTCAACCAAAGACTTTACAGTTCAGTTTATGTTTTTCAGGTCTATCTGAGTT